TGGCATATTCACCCGTATCACAAATACCGCGCAACCATGAATGTATGCCATATACCGCGTAACAATATAATTGCAAAGAGTAGGGATGTGGCTTTATGAAATAAATGAAATGAAGTTCAATGAAATTTTATGTAGCCATCACTACATGTAGTTTTGTGATTTTACGAGATAACTGCTTGTTGCTTTTTTGATACGCCCTGCAAAGGCTTTCCCATATAGCAGCTTTGAAATCTCGTTTATCAAAATAACTTTGATTTGCACTGTTATTTACCTTCATTCAAATTCTAGGGATTCTCAAGTTTTCTAATGGTCGGGCTAAATCACCATTGACACGATGTTGAAAAACCTTTTAAAGTTCATTTACTCTTATAAGGATCACAATTTTAATGTGAAATCACAATCCACGTTTCAATAATATCATATACGTTGTTACATTCCAATCGTGTTTTAAGTTGATCCAAATGGAATTACTTCACTTGTGATCCACTCGATCACGCTGGTTACCGAAACGGTTCGTTTCGGTAACAAAATGTCGGAACATCGAAGGTACAATTTTTCTTTTTTCCTTATTTCACACCTTGTAGGCAGAATTCCCACGGCATTTCTATCACAAACGTATAACAGTATCATATGTTTAAGAAAATGTAAATATTTGCGAATGTTGTCTTCTGAGCTATTTTTTCGCAAACATGTACATTTTCTAAAACATATGATACTGATACACGTTTGTGTGAAAAAATGTCGAGGGGATTCTGCTTTCAACGCGTGAACTAAGGAAAAAAGAAAAATCGTACCTTCGACGTTCCGACATTTTGTTACCGAAACGAACCATTTCGGTAACCAGAGTAATCGAGTGGATCACCAGTGTACTTGATAAATCAAGAAATTAAGTGACTCTTGCTATTAAGTTGTCGTGTTATTTAGCCCTACCAATACCCATGATGCCATCTTTTTTCCATTATATGGAAAGGGTCAATTGGATAGCTGCCGGGAACTATATAAATACCTCGTGTTCTTTAGTCTCCGTCTCAATTCGTCGATTTCTGTTGCATTAACACGAATTTCGAATTTGATGATTTCCTTTGAATCATCTTTCGGTGTTGCCCCTTTCCCCCACCATTGGTCAGCCATCTTAGGCGGTTCGACATCTTGGTCCTTGAGAAAGTAATATCCCAATAGAATAGAAACTAAAGCTAGAGCGGCAGCCACTTTCAATGCCCCCATAGTAGTGCAATAATTTGTTCCAAATGATTCAGGTCAGGTACCGTTGCAACAACTAATTTTACTTCTTATTTTTCATGCGAGAATATTGTATTTACAGTTACACCAGTGCTCGGGGTAAACATAACTTTTAGAACACCATAACTTTTATGGTGTCTGCTACGCTATATGAATGCGATTATTTAATTTTTGACGAAATAAAGAGCCTGGTTATTCACGTTAACATTTATGACGGTATTACTACCAATAAATCACTAAATGAATAGGTGCGAGGTATGGTAAAATATGTTAAGTCTTCTTGACTTTTGAAGTAATCGCTTCTTAAAAAAGCGTAACTTCAGCAGACTTTCAAGACACTCGTACTTAAATTTTCCACAATTCGTTGAGCTCTTGGCTTAAATCCTTTAACCAATGAAATCCATATTCATGACCAATAGGTTTAGTCACTGATTGTGAATTCATATCGCGTTGTTGTCACGTGTGTTGGTACCGAGTGGTAAAGTGGAAAATCAAGTAAGAACTGATTATATGATTGTCTGTTTGAGTGATGATTGGTAAATGAGTGAGTGTGAATGAGTGAGTGGGTGAGTTACCTTGGAATCATGACTTAAATAAGTCTATGAAGCTTAGTCATACACGTGTATCTGAAAATGCATCTCACTGCCAGCTATTTCTAGATAACAGGATTCAGTAGGGGGTTAAGGACATCTCGTGTAGCGAGACCAAGAATTTATTAGGACATCATATCTTAAGTTCATTTGTATTGATAAACAAAAACAGCTTCTAATTCTAACAATCATAGCATGATGTTGCAAGTGAAATTTTGCTGTATTACAAGTATTTCAACGATTGTGTTGCAACCAAATATGACATTGGTGATCAGGGATCCGACCGTTGAATTGTATTGTGAAAATCGAACGAATAATTGGTAACCTCAAAGTCTACAACCTTTTTATAACACTAAGTCGCAAGAGGGAGGGTGGCATTTGGAAAGGACCCCCTCCCCCCTCGGCGATTTTTATCACTTGTCTGATTTCAATACTTATTAGTCAGTTAGTATTGTTGTTGATTCAGAACGAATTGGTTTTTCCAAAAAGTATGTCAACAATAACGTGACGTATGGGTTGAACATTTTTAACACTTTGTGATAAATTGTTAATTTTCTTTCAAAATAAAAGACTTGATACCAAACATGCTGTAATTCATAAAATTATCTATTATCTTTTTAATTAAACAAATATCTATAACGTCAAAGGAACTTGATGGGGAACACTGCCCTTGTCAGTTCTAATATTATTCTTGAGCATATTTCTGTACTAACAGAATATATACACTATTGTATAGACGTTACCTACCTAGGTTTTGATAGTATAGACGTTACCTACCTAGGTTTTGATAAAGAAATATATAGAGGGAAATGTAAAATATTATCAATAAGGGACAATAATTAAAAAATAAATTGAACATAAAATGTTGATTAAATAGATATTTAATAACCCTATATTTATTAATGGTGTTGACACTCTTCGATTGGTTGCACTAACATTTACAAATTACTAAAATTTCTGAATTGTATTTCTATGTTTTTGGCTTTTCTTTCTTCTTTCATAGTCAGGCTAGAGGGATTTAGTCTATGATTAGCTGAATTGAAATAATTATTTAATTCACATTGGCCTAATAATATATATGTGAGGATATCCTAAATATTTATCCACCCTAGCCTAGCATACATAAATAAAATATTTTCACAGAACTCCTTTATGTACAAATTTTTACAACCCAAATCCACACATCAATAACATATTTGGTAAATTCTATCAATGTGAGCATATTTTGAATATTTCTTTGTGGACAGTATTTGAAATTCTTGGATTTGCATGCAAATATCACAAAAATAGGATAAAATATTATAATCTCAAAATAGTGTTTCACTTTGGAGGTGTTCCACTTACAGATATTCATTTTACATAAGCCATGTCACATTAATGCCCTGGTCAGATGTGGTCCGATCCATCGGCCGGCGCCCGGCCGATTGAGTGTTTTGTTTAATATTATTGTATTCAATTTTGAACAAAATATTCAATCGGCCGGGCGCTGTAGTGATAATCAGAGCAAATGTGACCAGGGCATAAGTAATGAGACTGAAGAGTTCATGTTTGGAGGTGTTTTTCATGTTCTCTGTAAACTCAAATTAAACAGTTTCTGAAATGTTTCCTTTTTACAAGTTACACACTGTTTCAACTGCAGACATGGTTCACCGAATACCCAATTTATCCTCTACAACATGAAAGTATAAATATATAATAAATATGACTTTTGGTGGGGATAGAAAAACCACTGATGCAGCAACAATTTGAAGTAATCATTCATTTTTAATATTGCACATTCATAAATATCTGTCCTGATTCACATTAATTACATCCTTGCATTTTGATCTTTGTACCTACATAGAATACCAACATTATTTTGATTTCAAATACTGGGAGTTATTATTAAAATACACAATATCCGTATGTAACTCAAATCTGGAAATTCAGAGCTCATTCTCCTTTTGAATATTTTGGTCCCAGGTTAAAATTTGGGCCTTGATTAAATAGTGCATACTAATATGCGTCAACAACACATTGTCTTAGGGGATTGCTTATATTACAGTAGAATGTTGAACCCAGACTTATCCCCCTCCCCGTTTTGTACTCCTTTCAAATTCTTCTCTAGATCTTGAGATCTGTGTCTGCACACATACTGATTTTAGAAAACTGTACTGTATTTGTTATTGATTTGGAGGTACACATACACTAAACTGGCATTTCTGCGCGTGACATCTATTTCATGATAAACCATCACAATAAAGACAAAAATTGGCAATTGCATTTTTAAATAGATACTCCCAGACATCTCCCTTGCCAATATGTCTCCAAATTAAAAAACAAATACAATGGGAATTTTAAATGCCTTACAAATACAATTGTGAAGAGGTTATCTGTACAGTGTATCAAATTGAAATACAAATATGAACCCATTACCCAGATGAAATTATGCATATTACATATAGATGGCATACCAGTATACCATTTTTGTCTTTATATAACATCATAGGGAAACTCCCATCACCTACTGCACAAAATAGTTCTAACTAGACAAAATACAATTTTCTGTGTGCTTAACCTCTATAACATAGTAACAAAATAGCTTTCTATGCACGTGTCAGGTAGTATTCATACTCGATTATTTACATGTAATGTTTTCACTCTACTATACCTAACAACTAGAAATGCATAAGATACTGAGTTTGTCTAATTGTATTGTTTATTATATTTTGAAAGTACCTTATTAACATCTAACAGTTATCCAATAAACCATTTATAAGCAGCAGACACATAAAAATAAATAACATAATCATTGCTAATACGCCAAATGGGTTGCTCATGAACACCAAATGCAAGGTATAGTAGAGTGGTTTTATTGTATTCTTTCTTTCTCTCCTTTAAGCACTTTAATGCTGCGAGATTGTTCTCACTGTATTTTTTCATGAATGTTGAATATGATACCTTGGTGATAAGTACTCATAATAAGTCTAATATATCATTATTGTTAGGCCTCGTACAAATTCATGATATCCATTGCTTCTCATGGTAAAATCAGGGAATGGATACTACCGACTGATATATGATTTACGAACCAAGAATTTAGTGGTTCAAAGGCCCAAAGATCATATAAATTTGATCAAAATTTCAGTCATTGGCCTAAGAATTAAAATTTTTCTTTAAAAAAGGTGATGTCTAAACAGAAGCTAAACACAAAATGTTTCCATCTATCATTTCCAATTTCTCTCTGTCAGCAATGTCATGAGTGATGTCATATATGTGGGGCAAGACACTGAGATTTGAGATACCATGACAGCGAACTAAGCATCATGATTGGTTAAAAATTTGGTGAGTTCATTTTCTGGTTCCTTATTGGTCCATCCGGGTCTGGAAGAGTCCATTAATGAACAGGGGGTGGTGGCTCTGGAGGATCATTAGGGTCCTGAAAATATGAAATGAACATAATGTTTTATCAATTTATTAACAATGAATTTGGGGAAAGACTCCTTAAATAACCCATACTGGTACAGTAGTATATATGCGGGCAAATGTTGTGGATGAACACCACAACATTTTCTTAGGGTAAAATTGTGTATGATTTTGTTCTGAATTTTAGCCCTGGAAATTGTAAAGTTCCTAATTTCCCTTTTCTTCTTCAGGAAGATCAGATCCATGGGTTATAAAAATGGCAGCAATCAGGAAGAATTGTCAGGTGGATATTTTTGGTATTTTTGCCTTATTATCAAATCATGAAACAGTCAGATTAACCAAACACCAAAAGGAAAAATAAAATTGACATCCTCCAGAAAAATCTGATAAAGGAGACACTCAGATCTCAACTACCAGGGGAAAAGTGAGGGGTGATTTCATAAAAGTGAGGGGTGATTTCATTTCATATTTGGTCTCATTTGTCTGTTATCATTACGTAATAAAGATAACATAAACTTTAAAAAGAAAATCATTTCATAAAGAATCCACTTACATTTCCCCTATTTGGAGTTGGTTTTTCATCCCCTCTGTGTCTCATACTATTTGGGCGAAGAAGGTATAGAGCAGTGGCCACAACAATCCAACCGAGCATTATCATCATCATACTTAACCCACCATCTGGAGTTTCACCCTGAGGACCTGGCACTGAAGAGAGAATAGAATGTCTTCATGCTATCATATATAAGAGAGAATAGAATGTCTTCATGTTATCATATTGAGACTTAAAGTGGCAGCAAAGAATACAGAATGTAAATATTACAAGCAATCTTTGATCATATGAAAAGCAGAAAGACAAAGAATGCATCATCATATACAGTATTGCATCATGACAAAAAACAGTGACTCCATGGAGTAGCCATCCCACCGGACCGAACAGTACATATTTGATTACTCATTTTGAACATAACATGATGGAAAATAATCAGGAAAGTTTGACTCCTCCATTTTTGAGTCAACACTTTTTTACATCAAATGGGACCATGTTGGCCAATTTGGCAGATCCTATCATTCTTGTTATTTTTAGATACTTCAACCTATAAAACTGTAAAATGCAAATCAAGTCTATCAACTGGTATTTGAGTTATCACCCAGACATACTTACAGAGGACATACAGATGGATACGGATTGTCTATATCCCTGCACAAATTTGGTGTGGTGGGGTAAAATAGTCTGAGAATTCTGGGATCTTTCATGAAAATAGGCATGATGTTGACAACATGTTGTAAGAAAAAACAATTGGAAACTGACAATTATTAAGAAAGTTACTTTTTAATGGATTTTTATTTACATATTGAAAGTTCAAAGGAGTTTTCCAATAATGTATTTTTGTTGCCCTTTCATAAAGTAAGATTAAAGTCTCAGAATGGTGATCTATGACTCATTGTTAGTTGTGTACTTACTATCCTGGACGCATTCATTGTCTGCACAGTATGACTGGGAATTTCTCAGCTGGAAGTAAAGAAAATATGTATAATTTTGAGGGACCAGTTACAAAACAGGTCTTTTACTGTATAAAAAAGAAGAAAGAATTGCAGGCTATAGTAAGTGTTAATCTTTTTTGAGCTGTTACATAAAGTTGTGTGGGCTCACTGTACACCATAATGTAAATAAATGATGGGACATGGACACCGTGGGCAAAATAAATTGTTTTACAGCAAGATACCCCCGTTACACAAAATACAAAAGTTAGTTAATTTGTGTTTACCCCATATCTTACAACTAGATGAGTTCTAAAATTTCAGGTCTTCACTTTCAAAAAAATCAAGGGATAATATAGGGCCAAACAAAAATATATGTTTGTTTCCTGATCTATGTATTTTCAGATTAGGGTAGTAGGTAGGAGGATTATTTTATTTGTCATTAAAAGTTTACTCAACTTTTTTTAGGGGAGGTCAGTTAAGAAAAATATTTTATTCTTTTATTCTTTTATCGGGGTTTATCTGATTATGACACATGAAAGCAGAATAGGAGTTTTATAAACATTTACCTTCAGGGATCTCTTACAATTTTAATAATTTTTATAATTTTGACCTTTGGGACCACTGACTTTGAGGGCAAAATGAGAGATTATTAGGAATACAGTAAAACCTCTCTCTCTAGTGAACACCTGTGTTTAGTGAACACCACTTTAAGACACATTTTACATTGACTCCAGTTTAAAATCCCCTCTCTGTAATGAACACCTACCTATAGTGAACACTTTTTGTAGATCCATAGGTGTTCACTATATACAGATTTTAGTGTATTAGCAACTGTTGATACAAAATATGAGTATGAGTTTTAGTTCAATAGCCCTCTAAGAGTATATAAATGTACAGTAAAACCTGTAAAGTTGTACATTTTTTAAGTGAAACACATTTTGATTCTGAGCCCAAATGACTGAGTTGTAAATGAAGAGGCAAAGAATGTGTTCAGCTGCTTACTCCAATTTAAGTTCATCAGTCTCACAAGATATAGTTTCCTCCATAAGATAATTTTTCAGACGGCTGCAAAATTCTCATTTTCAAAAATGCTGGGCTGGTCAAATTATGTCAATTTACATGATTTCTCTTTTTTGAAAAATGAACCCCCCCCACCCCCCTTGGCAAATCCTGGCTACGGGCCTGATTACAGGTATCATACTAATTTTATCATACTAATTTCTAATTTTAAGACCACACTGTGCAAAAAAACCTATTACATACTCCTCTATTAGCCATTATGTTTAAAAACCAAAACAAAGCAAACAATATGACTCACAAATGATTATGTCTATTGTATATATATAACTTTTATTGACATATTGTATCATAACATGATTACATTAGTCATAAACTACTCACTAAAACTACTATCTACTACTAAACTACTTACTAAAACTACATCTTTATAAAAATATACATGATTTGATATATTTACAGAAAGCATACAAGAAAGGCAAAATATTTTAAAGTGTGATGCACAAATTTTGCTGATTATTCTAAATTGTTAAATGAATGGTATATAAATTTACCAAGATGTCGTTGGAAGATGATATTATCATTAGAAATTATATTTATAAATATATCGTTACTATTCAAGTCAAATGTTGGTAATATTTCAGAAATTTTACTGAAAAATATTTGCCTGTGTTGAGAATGCTTTGTACAATTTATGATAAAATGAAATTCATCCTCCACACATTTACATATATTACACAACCTTTCATTAACTGGTTTAGGTTTGGGTTTTATGTGTCTTCCAGATTCTATTTTTAGCCGATGTGAACTTAACCTAAATCTACCTATTGCTAATCTATATTTTTTATTATCTAGTTTTAAATATGGTTCTAATTCAAAATCTTTCTTAAATAGCTTATATGTTCTTAATATAGGATATTGTAAAATATCATTTCTCCAATTATTTATAAATGCATTCTTTAGTTTCTTGTCAACCAAGTTTACTAAGTTGTCTGTATTTTGACTTTGGTCATCCCAATACTCTGTTAGTTCACATTTGTGAAGAATATCATAAACTTTTCCAGACCATGATTTAAACCCTAATTCATGTTTTTCTTGACCATATAAATAAGCTTGATTTAAAATATTAGATTCTGGTAGTTTTATAAGTCTTAACCAGTATTTTATCAAAGATAATTCAATTTTGATAGATAAAGGAAATCTACCGAGGTCACCATATACTGCAGGATTAGCTGTTTGAGTTTTGACTCCTAGAATAGATTTTAAAAAGGACAAATGCAATGTTTCAATAGATTTCATCTGTTTCTTATCATACCAAATCTCACACCCATAACAAAGTATTGGACTGACTAATGAATCAAAAATGTGAAGAGCAACATCGGGTGGTACATCATTGAATTTCTTATACTGTTGTTTGATTTTGAATATTGCCTTTCGTGATTGTTCTTTAAGATAAGCAGTGTTAATATCAAATTTATTGCTATCAGTAAGAATAACACTGAGATATTTATATTTATTTACACGTTCAATTTCTTGATTATTAAAAGTGAAAGGATCTGAATATTTAGAGTTAAAAATCAGGACCTTTGTCTTAAGGGTGTTGACTATAAGTCTATTAATTTTACAGAAAGCAAAAAGTGAATCTAATAACAACTGAAGTCCATTGTGTGATTCTGAAACAAGTACAAGATCATCTGCCCATAGTAGATGATTAAAATTGGCATCATTCAAAGTAACACCACATCTGGGTGGTAATATTTCATTTAAGTCATCTATGAAATGATTGAATAAAAATGTACTTAAAACACTTCCTTGTAAAACTCCTATTTCAGTGTCAAAAGTTTCCGTGACTCCATTTTCTAACTTGAGACATGACTAAGATTTAGAGTACATGCTCTCTATAATCTTGTACATTTTAGTCTGTGGATGAATTCCAGATTTACATAGTTTATATAACAGTACCGAGCGATCTATGTAATCAAACGCCTTCCTAAAGTCAATCATACATGTATACAATGGTTTCTTATGCTGCTTGAATTTGTTAATTAGTGTTTGCAAAATAAAAATATTATCAGTTGTACGCCTATTTTCTTTATAAGCACCCTGAAGTGGGTCTGGCGAATTTTGCACTTCAGCATTAAAGACAAGACGATTTTGTATAACTGAGTCAAATAAATTTCCTATACAGGCCAGTACATTAATGCCTCGATAATTATCAGCTTGAAAACGGCTGCCTTGTTTATAAAGTGCACTGAGCATACCAATGCTCCAGTCACTTGGATATTCTCCTTTTTCAAAAATAGCATTAAATAGTGATGTAAAATCAGAAATGAGAGATTTACAATTTTTAATAATATTAGATGGAATACCATCAATACCAGCTGATTTGTTTGTATTCACTCTTTTCAAAGCACGCTGGACTTCGGCTTGAGTAATTTTCATGTTGACAGTATCATGGCAAAGTTGTAAATTCTTATCTTCAGGGCAAACTTGATAATTTATAACATACTGATTCATTTCCTTGAGTGCATTGTCATCAAAATATTCTATATTTGGGGGTTTAGATAGACTTTTAAAAAAGTTGAATAAATCTTTAGGTGGAACTGGCATCTGTTTAATTTTATTTCCTGGCATTGCGTTTATCAGTTACCAGAAATCTGTAGAGTATTTGCTTTTATTCTGAATTAAACTATCAAGCATTCCTGCTTTAAACTTTCTCTTTTCTCGTTGTTTAGTTTGATTATATTGTTTGGTTAAACTATTTATAAGATCATCACTAAATTTGTGTTTTATTGCCTCATGTACTTGTTTCTTTAAGGACTTACACTCATCATTGAACCATGAATTGATGGGAAAGGTGTGCATTTTCTTAGTTTTTAATTGTTTAAATTGAAATGTGTTATTAGATGCATAATGAATTACGTTAAGGAGCTTATTTACAAGTTCATCAGATCCAGTATCATTACATCCAAGTTCAGTGTAAAAAGATGTTAAGAGATCAATGCTAGTATTATCAGTTAATTTTTGTTTAAATTCATTTTTCTTCTTATGATCCCATTTGTATGATTTATATGTTTTAATGTTCAGGGGTTCTGATTGAATGTTTGATGATTTACTTTGATTTTCAATATCCCTTTTTAATGATAGAGAAAAATGCAATGGTGCGTGGTCAGATTCAACACGTCTATCATGCACTTTAAAATCAGAAAATAAGGGAATAATGTTTGATTGAGCTGCAACATAATCAATAACTGATTTTCCTAAGTTTAGGTCTGTATTAGATTTATGGGTAACATTACGATAACATGTGAATTTCCCTAAATTTTTGTCCTGATAAAGACGACCATTAAGTATTTTCATATTAGCAGTTTTGCATAGTGATAAAAATTCTCTGCCATGAGTTTGAGAGACTGCCTTTACATTTTTATCCATAGATATGCGATTGCTAACTAAAACCTCATTTACATCTTGCAAATTATATAAAGTGTCATCTAGCAGTATGGGAATATCACCATTACTGCCAGGTATATTAATGTTAGAATCAGACAACTGAGCAGTTCTAGCATTCATGTCTCCACATATTATAGTTCTTCCTAATGTTTGATAATAAGCTAAGGATTTTTCTAATATGTCAATATTACTACATCCAGTTACAAATTCATAAGAAGAACCTTTAAATGGTAAATAAACAAAGCATAAATATAAATCTTCTGTAATATTGAAATGATTGGAATTGAATTTTATCCATACAAAAAAGTCATGTGATTGTGATAGAATTTCAATACCATTTTTACCATAAACATCACTTATTAGCACAGCCAGTCCTCCAGAGTAGTGCCCCTTTAGTACATTTTGGGGGTTTCTGGCTAGATTATAGCAAGTGTAGTTTTCGAATGCAATTTCAGATTCTGGTGATAACCATGTCTCACACAATAATATAATTTGAAAATTATTGAACCATTTTTGGATATCTTCACCATCATGTAGTTTATCAGAAATCTTATTTATGTT